TCGAAAGAGCAATACTATGATAATTTCATTCAACAAATAAACGAGTGGCTTAAATGGTTTGACAGATTCATCGATATATTTCAACCAATCGTTGAATGGCTAAAAAATTATAAAGTTGATGGAGCTGCACAATCATTTACCGAACTACATGCTATGAGAAACGAGTCAACAATAACTATAATTCAAATGAAAACAACAATCGAGAAAATACTAAAGCTATTCAAACCGTTTTCCAATTATCTACCTCGAATTTGTTACTTATGTAATTGTTTAAGTCCGTTTCATGCTGTAGATGAGGGGCATTTGGACGATGGATACAATTCAACAAATTATATTCGAGAACTAAGTCGTTCCCATCCGAATAACAAATTCCAGGTCGACAGTACAAGCCAATTCAAAAAATCGTTTTTCATCAATAATCGTCAAACAACTCAGTGGTCGATCGCTAGCGAAAAATTCCCGTGCCAAGTAGAAGTCACTTATCGAACAATCGGATCATATGATAATGATAAAAAATTATTTACAAAGAAAAATGCTGCCATTGATAAATATGTTCTACGTGGTGAATTTGAAGCACAACGAGATGGTCTATTAACGATTGTCATTGACAATCAAGGTCTTAGTTCACGTACAATATGGTTCCAAATAAGATCATCTCGTTTATCAATATGCCATTTGTTTTATGGTATATTTCACATATTTTATCAACAAGATTATCCACAATTAGTTGATACAATTAATCCAAATGCATTGAATCAGCTACTCAAACGAGTATTCTCATTTATTGATCGTCTATTAAATGGAGCCATAAGTCTACGACAAATGACTGAACTCAAAGCAATCTTTTGTAATAAGAACATTAATGTACGAGAAGAAGTTAAGAAATTGTTCTCTAATTATTCAAGAAAAGTAGTACCAAATGCACAACAAACAACGACAGTCATCAATATCGATATTCGTAATAATCAAGAGATTGAACGAACTTGTCAATGGTTACAAAGCTATCAATACTATAGCCATATCAATGCTATAATTGACTGTATAGAAACGTTCGACATTCTTTCCATTGATGAAGATAAGGAATCGATTGGTGGTCTCAAAAGATTGAGTAATGATGATGATTGTTTACTTAAAGAAATTACAAAAATTTATGAAGTTTCATATCAACATTTTCATAACTTGGGGAGTACACATTCAGAATTGATCAAAACAACACTCGAATATTCGACAGTTATTCATATGATGAAAGATATCAATTTGTATTCTTCTGATGGCCGACGACGATTTCAAGAATTACGAGATAACTTGACAACTCAATTTCAACTTCAAGAACGAAACAACATGATTCTCAATTCCTTAATCATCACCTACGCATTGTGCGAGTCATTTATTTTCAAAGCTAAAAATTTAGAAGAATTCATCAGTCGTCTTGCTGCACTATTAAATTTTGAAGAAAATTCAATGAAACATATGAAAGGTAAAAGTCAATTAGAATATCAAACTTGTGTTTTTTTTTAATATCTTACAATGTTGAGAAAAATCTTCACAGAAACTGAACATTTTAAGAGAGGTTTCGTCAGCCCCAGAAAAAAAACCTTTTGTTGCCAATTTTGAGTTTCTAGTTGGAAAGAACGCTTGATTTTACCGAAAGGTACAAATCTTTTCCGTTGAAAAATGTAAAAATCAATAATTTCAATAGATCTTTCGTCGCTCAATTGTTTGCGTTTATTATTTAAAACTTCATTCAAATCCGTGATTTTGGATTTTTCTCAGAAACGAATGAGTGATTCAAACCCGCTTCAATTTCATTCGATAATCTCTGGATTTCATTCACAAAACTGCGGTTTCTAAAGCTTGTTCAATATCGGAGTCAAAAGCTAGATTCTGAGGTAGTCTGTGAACGTGATTGGGACATCATCAATTTTTTTGTCTCGTGTTATTGAGCTTTTCAAGTTGCATCTAACCATATAAAATTTCAATCTAAAAAATGTACCAACATCTCAAAAAAAGCCTGCACTATCAATTCTCTAGCTGATCTCGACTTTGAATTCCGACAATAAATGCGGTTAACATTTGCGAAATATCAGCATATTCATCTGGTGATTGCTTAATGTTAAACTTATTTAGCGCAGTGAGAAGGAGCGACAAAAGTCATCATGAGACATTAACGGGACACGTCAGTGCTGCTACACAGAGATTACATCTTGGATAGTAATAATATGACAGCCATGCTCGCTACTGAAAAAACAGTCTTCAACTATTTTTGAAGATTCAAACATTTTACAAAAGTAAAAGTGTAAATTATAATATTTACAAAACCCTCGAGAATAAGGCTAATTTTCTTTTCATAAAATATTTTGGAGAAACAATTATATGAGAACAGTAATTTCAATATAGCTACAAACCCATATGACATGTTTTTGACCCATTACAACATAATTTCACACATTTAGTCTGGATGCGGCTGGATCATGTGTATAACAGCGATTACAAACGCAATTGTGCTCCAGGTGTATTCGTAATGTGACCACCATTACGGCACAATTTAAGCGTGATGGAACGCATGAGGGTCTAATTTAATAATTTATCTTAAAATGGCTCCGAAATTCTTTATATATTAGTATCATCCGACAAGATCTTCGAATTTTTTTCGAAATTCTATCTTAAAATTCCAGCAATCTTGAATCGATAACACCGATGACGAATACCACCACTCTATATTTTAAAAAGAAATAATGCTGAAACATAAGTGTCTTTTGTTCGAAGTCAAATTTGAAGCACTGCAAAAGTTTCACAAAATTGTCCAAACAATCTGACCAATATGTAAAAACTAGCATTCTATTCGAATATGTTAAAAATAATAGTTGACAATAAAGAATTGGGCTGAAAGATGTGATGCGATGCCTACGTTTTTATCAGAATTTGATATCTGTGACTTTTTTTAAATATTTTAGTTGTCAATGATAGTATAAACTTGGTGAAATTGTGGCTATCAACAGATGAAACAACGGTATTGGATAATGCTCTCATTACAATGGAACATTTGTATAAAACGGGTATAGTCAAGATACATCTAGAACGTTTAATGAATGAACAATCTTACTTTGAAATCGAATACTCGATTGACAGAATACAAACACAGACTAAACGGCTTGATACTCAGAAGAATGACGAAGATATTAATGACAATGAAGACGAACGAGAACCGGAAAAAATTAAATTCGTTTTGTCGATGGTAGATGTTGCCGATCACAAACGTCAACTAACATTTTGTAATACCGACTTACAACAAAATATGTTTCATACAAAACTACTATTGAATGAACAACTGGAATTACTGCAAATAATTGAGAAAATCTATATGAGCTTTGTGAAGCTTGAAATGGTCGGTCATCCCCGATTCCAGGTCAAAGAACAAATTTATGAAATTCACGATCAAACAGGCAAGTAGACGTATAGTCTATTGGTTTTTTTTATTAATATGAATATTCTCTATTCACGAATAGGTGAAATTAAAAGAATGTTATTCGAACTGAAAAGTGATCAACCTGTGAGCGAAAATCAGCTAGAATCAGCCATAAAAACTCGAACAAACAGTTTAAGATCAATTTGTCTTACATTGGAAGCAGCCTATGTGATTTGGATAGAAAGTTTGAGACGATATAGACACGAACATCGACTCTTGAAACTATTCTCAAAGCGTCAAATCATGATTATGATCATTTTACTCACAACATCAACAATACAGGATCAAGTTAAAAATCGTTTTCTAAACAAATTATGCCAAATGAAAAATGTAAACAATCAAATTGACGAAGAAACCAAAATGATTGTACGATATTTGACACATTATATATGTTCATTGAGAATAGCTAATTGTGATGCATCGGAGGATAATGTATCCCGTTTATATACAATGTATAAACTAGGACAGAATGCTGATATCGATACATGTCTCAAGACATTAGGTCAGTTTCTTCAAAAATTATTCAACGATGAGAAACCAGCACTTCATGATAATTTGACGAATCACGAAACTCAACAGTATCTAGTAACATTAAATTCAACAGAACGAATAATAGACAAAACATCATCACTCGAACATGATCTCGACATGGAAACGTGTTGTGTCTTGTTGAGTCTTTTCAATGATTGATTACCGTGCTTTCATCAAATTCTTTGGTGTTCAATTGCGACTGAAGATGATATTCGATTATTTTTCTCACGCATACGAGCATTTTGTTCTTTAATATTTATCGAAATGGGTGTCAATAAAATGCATCATCGACTTCGAGAATTATTATTAAATGAACAAGATTCACTGACATGGAGTCAAGAACCTCATGGACCCGTCTATTATTTTTCAAGAGAATTGACTAGTCGAAAAGGTTTGAGACCCTTCCATGTGACGCCTAAACATCGAAATAGAAAGGAGACTTATGCAAAATTAAATAAACTATTCACACAACAGAATTATGCACAGTCACAATTTCAAATTATCTGCGGAACGGCTGGAAGCGATGAGTGAAAGGCTTAGTCATTTGATTTCTTTCTGACATTGTTCTTCTTCTTTCAGGAAAAACTCACAAAATCAATACTTTTTATAAGACTAATGACACATTGTGTATCAGTATCAATGATAAGTTAAATTTGACAACGTTGACAAGTTCGTTCTTATCATTCGATTCAATCATAGTAAATGATGTACCAACAGTTTATTTCAACATTTCAATTCATGCACCATTCGAAGAATTAAATCGCACTCTATTATCACTATTTATTTGTGGCTCAATAGCTGATCCCAGCAGTGGTCTTACCGTTTCTTTACCGACTGCAAAATCATGGAAATTCATTATCGAAATTCCTCATACCGATATTTATGGCATGACAATCAAACAGAATTTCGAACAAATATTACCGCTACTTTCGATTATATCACCATCCAGCTTGGAAGAAATCACAGTTGAAAACTATCAACTATTTATTGGCGAAGAAGAAGAACTCGTAGCTCGATTTTTGAAAGCTTATGAGGATAAAACAATTAATCGACTTCTGACTATTACCAGACGTGTCGAAAAGCCAGTGAGTTTTGATCGTTTAGACAATCATGATAAATGTCGTCAACATATTTACAATTGTATGGAAACATATGCACCCGAGCTGCCAAGAAATAAAATCTACGAATTATCTTTTACGAAATTCTTGTATCGCCGTATTCGATTTTTCACAAGTCCTTATTATTGTCTGAATACAGGAATTGAAAATCTGGGTTCACTGACTATGAAACAGATGATAATCGAGGCAAAAAATCTTGCTCAAATCAATTTTCAAGACATTAAATATCCTCGTATCTATCTCGTGTATGATCCGGGATTCTCATTGCATTTGTTACATGATAACAATTGGAACGATGTTCCCGACGACTTGAAGTACCTGTTCAGTGATATGGATCCTGCTCTTGGTCCGGAATTCAAGAACAAAAATTATTTTGTGAAATGTTTATCATGGCTAATCGATATAAAATATGATGTATTTGAAACAATTATGAACGAAACAAAGTTCATCATGACTAACAGCTTTGTCTATAGACTGTTTCATATCCATGAACGAAAATTGACAAAATTGGCATTGATTATCGAAGGTGAGACAGGTGTCGGCAAAACTTTTCTTCTCAAGTTTTATTCCTTATTGTTGAATTCAAATATCATACATGGTCAACTTCAAAATAATATTGCTCCACGAATTCTCGAACGTACGAGCTTATGGCTATTGACGACCGTCATTGACACCATCCTAAGCACTGAACCAAATTTGATAGATACATTTCTCCAACAGATAAAGCCAAAATTGAACATTTGTAACGACACTTCCGTATTGGAAGAAGATATGACAACAGCCGTATTCCAAAGGAAGGCTGAATCAAGGAATCGTTATCAATTGAATATGAACATATTTGATGACGGGGTAATGTTTCAAATAGTAAAAAGAAAGCCAGTGAAGAAAGAACATGAAAATTAAAATAGTGCATGTCTAAAAAGAGGACAGAGCAAAAAGTAGACTTGTTAAAGTTCTCCATCTACCCCATTGCCTTTTGGTATTTCATACGAAAAATGTTTTATTCTATATATTTTTTCTGACAGACTGAACAAATACAGAAGAAATTAGATATTATATATACGCAGATGAAAAAGGAATATAATGTATGAAAGAAAAATATAGAAAAAGAAAACAGTCGAAAATTGAAAAATCTGACTAATTCCTACGTTCGGATTAGACCGATTTTCGCCGCTTGAAAGACTACTGGAAGTCAATAAATGTTTCTACTATTCGGTGGGAGCCGATGAGAACCACATTAGTCTATGCAAATGTGAGAAGTATCTGGAAATAGTTCACGTTTCTTCAACTAGAGATGGAAAATAAATTCCTGACAAAGCCTGAAATAAACAAAAATCACGAAAAATATAGATTTCACAATAGTTGTCAGTGACTAATGCCTGAAATTTTGTAGCAAAAATGAT